GAGAGAGAGAGAGAGAGAGAGAGAGAGAGAGCAGGTCTCACAGTAAATGGCAGAGCAGGCTTGTCAGAAGAATCTCTCTCCCCCCGCCCTCCCCCTCAGTATGCATGCACAGGAAAGTTTATCCTGGAATAAAGCTTTGTTGGTCTTGAAGGTGCCATGGGACTCCCTCTCCAAATGAGGGAAGACAGCCTAGGTATTGCAGCAGCAGCAGACCCAAAGGAGGAAGCAAGAGGGAGCTTTTCTATGCTGTGTGCAAGTGTGCTCTTTTTCCTTCCCCCTCGCTTCCCTAGAGGAGGAAGATAGCCTAGGCATTGCAGCAGCAGCCTAAGGAGGAAGCAGGAGGGAGCATTTTTCCTGCTGCACACACGTGCACTTTATTTTTCCTTCCTCCTTGCTTCCCTAAGGAGGAAGAGAGGCTTTGGCGATGCAGCAGCAGTAATGGCTGGGAAATGTAAGCACTTGCTCGTGGGCCGTATACCAGCCCTGCAGGGGCTGGATCTGGCCCGTGGGCCACATGATTGACACCCCTGTTCTAAAGTGTAAGGATGTGCCACTGGCAATCAAGATAAGTCATGCCATAATATTCCCCATTACTATGTATGGGTGTGAAAACTGGGCAATAAAGAAAGCTAACAGAAAGAAAAGTTGATTCATTCGAAAAATCGTGCTGGAGGAGCGTTTTACAGGTTTACACCAAAAAGACAAGTATCTCTCCCCTTGAAGCTAAAACAACTAAACTGAGGCTATTGTACTTTGGTCACATTATAAGACAAAAAGTCACTAGAAAAATACTAAGAAAAGTTGAAGGCAGAAGGGAAACGGGAAGACCCAACATGAGATGGATTGACTCAAGCAAGGAAGCCGCGGTCCTCCATTTGCAAGACCTGAGCAAGGCTCTTAACAATAGGACATTTTGGAGGTTATTAATTCCTAGGGTCGCCATATGTTGGAAGTGAGGTGGCGGCACTTAACACAAACATACACAGGGTTCAAACTGAAGCCCCCAAACCCAAATAATACTACAGGAATATAAGTAATAAGGTTTATTAAAGAAATGCGCAAAAGTATAAAAATATAGAAGTAGTGCAAAGAAGGAAAGAAAATCAGTATTTTGTCTCAGAATATTTATTTAGCCTTTAGTCCTCAGACCCAGATGCTATCTGGTCCAATTGAAGGCGCAGAATCCATATAGAATGCCGAAGTCCAAAGTCCAGGAAGGGGGTATTCCGGCAGCACAAAGCCCAACCTACAGTCAAAATGGTGGCTGGAATGAAGGAAGGCACAAAAGAATCTAAACTAGAATGAATGGTCTTATGCAAGACTGCCCGCAACTGGCCTGATCCTGTGAAGCCAATCAGGTACATTCATAAGACATGTGACGATAAGACACGTGACCACATACCTCTGCAGCCAACACATACTCAAAATCAAGCAACTCACCGGTGCCTGGGGCTCCTGACACTAATCAGATGGAATGCGACTGCAAAACTCCCTCTGTGTCTCTGGCCTTGAAGCTCCCAGAGCCATTATCTCACTTTCAACTGTGCCTAGCTCCATCTCATCCATTATCTCTCTTGAAACTGTAAGTCACTGTGACATTAATTTCCCAGAGAGTAGCCTTCAGTAACTTGACTAGGCCCAAAAGCCCAAACCAAAAATTGAAACGCCAAGAACCAGCTAGACAAGGCCCATTTCTTGACAAGGCATACCAGGTCCCAATTTGGAAAAGGAGAATTACTTCACATGGCTGTTGAAAGGATGAGTATGAAGAATGTAAAACATTTTAATGATTTAAAAGGCCTACAGAATGAAATCAATAGCCTCATTCCCAAAGTCATTGCATTAATACTTGGAGGCTGAGAAACCAATTAAACATACAAGTCAATCACAAAGAAAACACTTCTCAATAGCGCTGACTCTGGATTAGTGAGGCAGCCAATCCATTTCTAAATGCAGGTCCAAATATTGCAACTTGCCACCCTCAAAACCAGTACAAATCACCACTAAAAAACAATTAAAACTAGCTGCATGCTCAACTTCCAAGACATTCCTGGATTGCACAAGCAGTCAATAGTGTTCCCTCTAAGCTGAATTAGTGTGAGCTAGCTCAGCTTTTTAGCCTCCAGCTCACACATTTTTGTCTTAGCTCAGGAAGGATGGCTCCAGAGCAAACTAATTTATGCAGTAGCCAAATCGCTCACTCACAACTTTAATGCCAGTAGCTCACAAAGTAGAATTTTTGCTCACAATGATGCACAGCCCAAATTCTAAGAGAGGAACGTATGCAATATGGAAGAGCAGGTTCCAAAACTGTTCACAATTTCCAAGCCCTCAACAGAAAAAGTCTTCATATCCTTGTATAAATGACACCACTCACCAGAAGTTCATAAGAAAAAGGTCTGGCCTTGGAAGAAACAGCAGTACATAAATTATACTACAATGACAAGTACGTCTAGGGGAGACAGAGAAAAGAATTTCCTGGCCTGAGACAGTCCTCACTTAAATAAAAGAGATAACACTAACTTGCAACATGGAGTTAATTTACTTCCAATATTATTACTGTTGCTTGCGTCAACATCACAAACAGGAGGTATCCATATTGGTCAGCACACAACAGAAGTGCAATATCTTTCTATTTGGACCAAAATGGCACAAAATAGTGTGCAAGCCTTTGCATTCTCCAGAGCTCTTAGGCTGGATGTCCACTACAAAAAACAAAGGGGGGGGGGAAGAGAGAGAAGGAACAAAGATGTTTCAGGGCCACATGCGAAGTTTAAAGCAGTCTTAAAATGGACTATATAGGAGGTGCTCCAGACTCAAGTAGAAGCAATATTTATATTTGCCAAAAAAGTGGTCTTTTTTTGTATTTTATCCAAGTAGCCTTGGATGCACCTAGACATGATGAAGTCCTAGGTAATGCCGAAGCTTGCTCACTTTGTGACATTTCAGTTGAAACTAATTCAAAATGCACTGCACTGCAGTTATTTGCTGACACATCACATAGATGATATATTACATACAGTGTCTTCATGATTCTGTTATGATTTTATAATATTAGTGCTTTTTGTAAACTGCCTAAGAATAGTAAATCGCTAATAACATAATTATTTTAGTTAAAACATTTGCATCCTGCCTTCCGCCGAGTTAAGTCCCTCAAGGCAGCAAACAGTTAAAAAGGCATTACAATCAATGTTTAAAGTAATCCATATAGATGAAACAACAGCTTTAAAAAAAAGGGAAGGAGAGAACACCAACCCAAACAAACAAGTCACCATCAACTGGCAGGAAACAATAAGAGTGGTAAAAGTAACATGGGGGTACACACTCTCCCCAAGTTTTGCCAAAGGTACACCTGAACTGGAAACTGGACATAGATACAATCTTAAACATCTGTAAATGCCTTGAGAGAGAGATCTTAGCATCCCACAGCAGTGACAGAAGGAAATTTATGAATTTTGGTTTGCAAAGATGCATTTAGTTCTTTCACCAGTAGACAATTTTTGTAATTTAAAGGAAATAAATAAGATCTTGACGAGAACTTTAAAAACCTGCAGGTCACACATCATCACATTCTTGCCTGTTTTCAACAAAGCTAAGAATCTGAACACCTGTTGAGATGCTTATTATCAGTGGGCGTTTGGGGACACAAACAAAGCCTGTGTGTCAAGCAAGGTTTAAAGTAAAACAATCAAGTACAGCCCCAAAGAACTGGCCTGGACAGGTCAAAGCTACTTTTAAACTATTACCTCCTTTGCCTTCTACCAAACCCAGTCACGAACAAAAAAGTATCCTCTAGCAAAGTATCCTGTCGTTGTCTGGTTTGTAACAGGTTACAAATAGAGGCACCTAGGCTGGAGTAAGAGTAGAGAAGATAAGCGACAGCTGCGTTGCACCCCTTCTCTAGAGCACGGGGATAGAAGGATTTGGGAGGGCCACGAAGTAACCCGGCCAATAAACCCAGAGAGGTTTATCCTGGAACCAATCTCGTTAAGTCTTTAAGGTGCCCCTGGGCTCCCGGTTAATTTCTCGCTCAATACACGCCACAAGGAGGCTAGATCGGGGCCGACAACCACTGGTTGCACCGGGACACGGTGGAGAGGAAAGACGGGGTAGAGGGGTGGGTGGGGCTGAGAAGCTCCCCAGAAAACAGAGGAAGGCAGAGGAAGGGGGAGCCCCAGCACGAGGGACACGCCAGGGACTGGGCAGACGTGGTCCACAGGGGGAAAGCCACCGAGACAGGGATAGGGGCGTGTCGTGTGAATTGTGACCCCGCAGGGGCTTTGGAGAGGGGAGCCTCGGGACCCCGAGGGAAGGGCGGGGCGTCATCCCCTGATGGGGGAGGAGGAGGACGAAGGCGGCGGCGCCGGGAAGGGAGATGGGCAGGGAGCCACCCGAGGCGCCCAGTCACGAGCTCGAGTCCCAGCTGCAGCGCCCCCACCAGGAGCCGCCGCTCACGGTCGGCGCCGGCCCGCAACCTACCGGCCGCCGCGGGAACCAGCAAAAGCCACTGCACCGTCCCAGCTGCTGTAACATGGCCGCCCGCCTGCGGAGCGCCGGAAATACTAGGCCACATCCGCTTCCGGCAAGGCGAGAACTGCCCCAATTGCGGAAGAGCCCCGCCTGTTAAGCCACGCCCTCTTGCTTTACCTGGGCAACGCCCCCTCTGCGGTTGTTGGCCACACCCACCATTGGCCCTCGCCAAGCCCCGCCCACCGCCGGTCCGTGGCTCCGCCTACCTGCGAGGCTCCTCCCACCCACCTCCAGCACGCTTGCCTGGCTGCCTAAGCCCCGCCCACCCATCACGTAGGGGATTTTTTGTCACACCTTTCTGAACCTTCTCCCATACAAACCATTTGGCTTCCCACATGACCCTCATTGGTTCCTTCCTCTCCTAGTTGCCTCCATCCTGCCAGTCATCCCCAAAATATTTCTCTTCTCCTTTACCCTAAATAGCTTTGCCTGGGATTTGCCACTATCAATTCCCAAGAAACCTCTTTATTTCTTAGGTTTACCAACCTCCAGGTGGGTCTGAAGATTTCCTGGAATTACAAATGATCTCCAGGCTACAGAGATCAGTTCCCCCCCAGGCGGCAGCAGAGGGTGGATTTGATGGCATTTTACAGTACTAACATCCCACCCTGCTAAAAAAACCGCACTACCCAGCCCCCCCTCCCCCCAAATCTCCAGGTATTTCCCAACCCAGAGCTGGCAACCCTATGATATTATGTAGTCATGCCGGCCACAGCGCTGGCTCTTCGGCTTTGAAACAGAGATGAGCACCGCAACCCTAGAGTCAGATTCGACTGGCTTTCGAGCAAGGGCACCTTTACCTTTTATGCCACTTTCTGCCCCACCAGGAACTCAAAGTAATTCACAGAAAAACACAACATGGGCCCCAGTCACAGGGGCCAGATAACGCGGGGGAGGCGTGGCTCCGGCGCAATTTAACACGCCAGAACACGATCAGACGCCACCACGGCGTGTGTTTTCGGTGCGCATCAAGAGCGTGCTTGAGCGATCACACGTAGGTATTCCGTCAACAGCCCGTAGCAAACTGTTTGCTAGTAGGCTTTCCCGGGTATTTTTTAACTCCGGATCTTCGGGCGAATGCTACGGGTCGGCGATGGGTGTGCTACGCTTGCCAAATGTGTCCTTGTGATCACGCCAGTATACTCCGCCGGACATTCGTGCCTCTCCCGCCACAAATGCTGCATGTAAACAGGGCCATAGTAATATAAATATAATTTATATAGACAACAACAAAATATTTCTTTCTTCCAGTCCACAACAGATTTCTTCCTTTGATCTCCAATAAATGACCTCTGGATCCCAAACCTCTGTGACATCTTCAGTCTCTACAAAACCTTCCAATATCTTTCAAAGGCATCCAAGCCAAGGGTCCCCTTCAAGCCCCTTATCTCTTCTACACTTTAGAAACTGCTGAATTTCTCAAATATTAGCTTGCTTCCCCCAGTGACCAGCTTTCTTTTAATTGTATTTATTTGTTTTATTTTACAAAATTTATATCTTGCCTTTTGATAGCCAGTTTGGTGTAGTAGTTAGGAGTGCGGACTCTAATCTGGGAGAACCGGTTTGATTCCCCACTCCACATGCAGCTGCTGGTGTGATCTTGGGTGAGTCACAAGTTATTTCAGAGTTGTTCTCTCAAGAGCAGTTCTCGAAGAGCTCTCTCAGCCCCACCTACCTCACAGGGTGTCTGTTGTGGTGGGGAGGGGAAGGGAAAGAAGATTTTAAGCTGCTCTAAGTCTCAGGGCTACCAAGGTCGCTAACAAATTAAAACATTCATAATAAAATCACATTTTAAAACCATTAACCCCCCCCCCAATCACACATACAGCATTAAAACAATTAAAAAACAGAGCTACAATACATGCAAAGATATGAAAACAACACTCAAAACATTGGTCAGGAAGGAGGAATCACTGAGTGAACACCAAACAAAAAAAGTTTTAACCCCCAATGGGGTGCACCCAAACAAAAGCCTCCAAATATGACTGTAGGTGCTTGGGTGGGTTCATTAGGAAGTAGGCATTCCTACAGGTATGTTGATCCCAAACCATACAGGGCATCAAAGGTCAACACCAGCACTTTGAATTCTGCCCAGAAACAAATTGGGAGCCAGTACAGATGGGCCAAGACTGGACTGATATGGTTCCTACCACACACTCCGGTCAACGTTCTGGCTTCAGCATTCTGCAACAATAGAAGTTTCTGAACACTTCTCAAGGGCAGCCATATACAGAGCACATTGCAGTAATCTAGATGTAGCCAGGGCATGCACCACAGTGGCCTGATCTTTTCTGCCAAGGAAAGGTTGCAGCTGGTTAATGTCAGAAAGGTACTCCTGGCCACAACTGCCACCTGCTTATCCAGCACTAGGACTAGGTCCAAGAGCACCCCCAAACTACAGACCTGTCCATGTTCCTTTAAGGAGAATGCAGCCCCATCCAGAATAGGCAACAACTGAAATCCTGGGTCAGACTTTCTGCTTACCAGTAGCATTTCTGTTTTGCCAGGATTAAGCTTCAGTTTATTAGCCTGCAGTCACTCCAAAACTGGCCCCAGTCACTGGTTCCGGATTTCTATAACTTCCCTGGGATCAACTGGAAGCGTGAGCTAGAGCTGAGTGTCATCTGCATATTGGTGACGACCCACCTTGAATCTCCGCATGACAGCACCCACCGTTTACATGTAAATGATGAAGTGCAGGGGATAATTTATTTATTTATTATTTATTTATTTAGATTTATATCCCGCCCTCCCAGCCAAGGGCGGCTCAGGGCGCCTTACAAACAGAATAAAACATACACAGCTCCCGAAGCACACAGAAGTACAAAAGAAACCAATCTGCTAGTGTAACAGGCCCACAGACGTTATGAGGGCACAGCAGCATGTGTTGATGGCAGACAATCTGGAAGATGGAACCTTGTGGGACCCCAGAGGACAAAAACCAAGGGGCTGAGCAGCAGTCCTCTAGCACCACTTTCTGAAACCTACTCTCCAGATACGACTGGGACCACCACAGAACAGTGCCTCCCAATCCCAGTGCAGAAAGGTGGTCCAGAAAGATGCAATGACTGATTGTGTCAAAAGCCTCTAAGAGGTCCACTTGATCCAGCCATCATCCAAGTAGCTTTCCTCCAGCCAAAGGAAGAGCCACGTATATTGGAGGAAGTCTCCTTAGAATCGAGGAAGGCTTCAAACTTGAGCCAAAAGGAAAGGTAGGATATAAATATTTTAATTAATAAGAAAGTAAATAAACTGGATGACCTGGATGGCCTAGGCTAGCCCGTTCTCGGCAGATCTAGGAAGCTAAACAGGGTTTGCCCTGACTAGTGTTTAGATGGGAGACCACCAAGGACTACCAGGCTCACTATGCGTTGGCAGGCAATGGCAAAACCGCCTCTGAATGTCTCTGGCCTTGGAAACCCTATGGGGTTGCCGTACGTTGGCTGTGACTTGACAGCACTTTCCACCCCCACCACCAAATAAATAAACATTGCTCAGTGGAGTGGTAGGATAAGGTTAGGATCCATGCTGCTACATGTCAGCTGGTCTAGAGGGATTTGGCTTTGAGAGCGTTCTTTCTCTCTCCCCCTCCTCCCCTCCCTCCTCCAAACACCCATCCTTGATGCCTGTCTCATTACCAGAATCAAGCTAAAATTTAACAAAGACTACTGATATGTGAAGTATTATATACCAGTCACAGAGTCACACTGATGACTAATGGGAGGCTGTCTCTTACAACAAAAGATAACAAAAAGATAATTTACTGATACTGACAAGTTACAAATAAACGAGAAAGATGATTATGGTAACTCAAATGATGACATGAATAACCAAGGCAAGAGGACACCCCATACGATAGTAAGGGTTGGTAAAAATAGAACAGCACATTTTAAAATTAAAAAAAAAAAGATTGAGTTCTGGTTCTTCTGGGCAGAGAGATGACCCAGGGTGTTTCCCCACCAATATTTTGTTCCTTCAGGTAATGGGCCAGTGTATTGTTTAGTTTTATTTAATGTGTATTGTTTAGTTTTATCTAATTGTATTTAAAGAAGATGAGTTATGCAAAATAATTTTGGATGTTAACATGGAAAAGTGATAATGTTAATGGAAAAACTGTTTTATACTCAATACAATAACTGTCAAAGATTCTAAACATATTTGTTAAAACTCAAATAAAAAGATTTATCAAAAAAAAAAAGGTAATGGGCCAGTACTGCAATCATTCTTGGAAAGACTCTAGTTTAGATATGTGACATCATTTGTCAAGTCTGAACAACAAAAAGCGAAAAGGTCTAAATTTAGCTTTGTCTTTGGTAGGGTTGCCAGCACTGTCTTTGCAAACATCAGGATATTTTGAGGGCTGTACCTGTGACAGGTAGAGTTTGGGGAGGTCATGGCCAATGCTCCTGCTAAGCTGTGGAGTCTTGTGAGCAAAAATTAAAGTTGTGAGTGAGCAATTTGTCTACTGAATAAATTAGTTTGCTCGGGAGCCATCCTTCCTGAGCTAAGACAAAAATGTGTGAGCTAGAGGCTTAAAAACTGTGAGCTAGCTCACACTAACTCATCTTAGAGGGAACACTGGGCGTGGCATCAGTTACCCTTTAGGTATTTCCCCTAATCTCTGTGCTGAAGGCCATAGAGTCATAGGGAAATGCCTAGAGCCAATTTCCTGGCCATATTTTTCTCCTGCTCTTCAGTTTCTTGATGGTGGGGATTTACCAGCTGCAGATGGGCAAATGGCAAGCCTAAACACATGTTGGGCTCCATATATAGTCACTGATTAAGCTAACCGCCCCAACCTAACCTACCCTGAAGGGTTGTTCCTTTCTTTCACCTGTGTGCATAAGAAGAGGCATGCTGCATATATATGTCCTGCCTATTTGTGTTATGTGTGGTGATGTATATATCTGTGTGCATGAGAAAAGGGTTCTTTTGTGCATGTTTTGCATGTATAGAGATCTATGTATGATCCGGAATCTTGCATCCCATTGAGAAAGACAAATTGTAA